TATTTCCTTTCTGCACTCTTCTCCCTCGCCTCTCTATCATCTCTGCCGTCTATCTCTCTCTCTCTCCCCCCCTGTCTCCATTCCCAATCCTTTCCACCCTTCCCCTCTGCTCTCACTTCTCTCTCTCTCCGTCTCACTGACCACAAAACACAACCAATCAGTGGCTGTTCTCCTCCAATTACCTTCTCGTTACTCTTGTTGTTAGTTAAATTATTCGCTAAAAGGGGTCGGCAAGTTAATTCTTCATATTTCCTTATGATAGTTTGTGTGTCTGTACGTGTGTGTTTGTACTCACCCACCTGGTTGTACTCATCTAGTTGTGCTTGCGGGGGTTGAGTTTTGGCTCTTTGGTCCCGCCTCTCAACTGTCAGTCAACGGGTGTACAGATTCTTGAGCCTACTGGGCTCTATCAAATCTACATATGAAACTGTATGGAGTCAGCCTCCACCACTTCACTGCCTAATGCACTCCCTTTGTTAACTACTCTGAAAAAATTATTTTTAATGTTCCTGTGGCTCATTTGGTTACTAAGTTTCCACCTGTTTCCCCCTTGTTCGTATTTCACTCGTGCTAAAAATCTAGACAGTAAAATAACAACGTACTGGAGTGAACGATGCAAGAAAATGTAAGATTGAAGATTGAAGAAAATGCAAGATTGAACCAGTGAAGAGCAGAGGTGTCATATGCACAATCAGAGAACACTGTATAAACATCAGAGGTCCGCGGTTGTTCAACGTCCTCCCAGCGAGCATAAGAAATATTGCCGGAACAACCGTGGACATCTTCAAGAGAAAACTGGACTGTTTTCTAAGAGAAGTGCCGGACCAACCGGGCTGTGGTGGGTATGTGGGCTTGCGGGCCGCTCCAAGCAACAGCCTGGTGGACCAAACTCTCAGGACTTGGGGAGTAGAAGAACTCCCAGAACCCCATCAAGCAGGTATCAAACAGGTTATCTTTGTCCACCCTGTCAATTCCCCCTGAGTATTTTGTAGGTGGTTATCATGTCTCCCCCTTACTCTTCTGTCTTCCATTGACGTGAGGTTTAGCTCCCGTAGCTCATACCTCTCAGTAATCACTGTGTTTGTGCCGGGAGTAGAGGGGGATCTCACCTTTCTGGATTCAACTAACTGTTCTTGCTGAACAGTTACCTGTTGCCTTGCCTGTTGCCGACCTTACTTGCCTTCACCTGTTGTTCTACACAACCTCTCTCTCTCGCTCTGACTTTTTGTTTCCTGTCCGTTAGGCGCTATCTTCGCCAGATTAGGGTGACTAACCATCCTGTGAGATAGGAATGCTAGTTGAACCTATAGCTAGTGTGTGTGTGTGTGTGTGTGTGTGTGTGTGTGTGTGTGTGTGTGTGTGTGTGTGTGTGTGTGTGTGTGTGTGTGTGTGTGTATATATGTATGTGTGTGTGTTTTTTGTGTGACCTGAGATTAATTGGGAATTAATCCCTCACGTAAACTGAACAATTTAATATAAAAATTACTAAAATACAACGAAAGAAAGATTTGTTCAGAAATTATATCCATCCTAAAAAAAACTCGAGCAGCTTCGGATTCTTGCGAAGTTAATGGTATTTGTGGATGGAAAAATAGCGTGAAATCCGTCACAAGAACGATACGTAAAACCTATTATATATCCAACAAGACCCTCAACGATCATTTGGTCCGACTCCCGCGAGTCTTATAGAATTTGTCCACGTCTGCCATATGCACGATAATCTCATAACGTTGACAATTCCTACTGCCTTTGACGTTATCATCAGCCAATCAGAGACAGGTTTATGTAGAGGCTCAGGAGGCCAGTTAATCCAGAATGAGGCTTTATATATTTTTTCGGGTATACGCTAATGAAGAAAGTTTCATTCAGTGCGTTTGTCCCGGCCGAGCGGACAGCACACTGGACTTGTGATCCTGTGGTCCTGAGTTCGATTCCAGGCGCCGGAGAGAAACAATGGGCAAAGTTTCTTTCACCCTATGCCCCTGTTACCTAGCAGTAAAATAGGTACCTGGGTGTTAGTCAGCTGTCACGGGCTGCTTCCTGGGGGTGGAGGCCTGGTCAAGGACTGGGCCGCGGGGACACTAAAAGCCCCGAAATCATCTCAAGATAACCTCAAGATAACCCACACAAGTGTCCTCATATTGGTGTATAAACAAGTGTAAGTGTAGAAAGATATTGTAGTGTTAGCGTCACTGTCTTCCTGTCAGCCTGTTTCTGTCCACCTCCCAGTCTGTGCTGCCTGTCTACCTCCCTGTCCCTGCCTGGCTGGTGACGCTGGTCGTTACCTAACACACAGCCCAGTTGAGGTACAATTGCAGCTCCAGCGGCCGTCTGGTGGAACCAATTGCTTGTTTATCCTTCAGATAACGCCCCAATAGGCTGTTCTACCAGGAAACAGGCCCCCATAGCGGAGAGAGAGAGGGGGAGGAAAAGGGAGTGAGAGAGGGGAAGGGAGTGAAAGGGAAGGGGGTAAGTTGCGATGGGAGGGGGTGATAGTTGAGAAAATATTCGAGGGTTAATTATACGTTGATAAAGGTGTTTTGAGTGGAGGTGGGTGTAGGTAGAGATGTGTGAAGGGGGTGGGTGTAGGTGTGTGTGGATGGGTGAGTGGGGGGTGGATGGCGTGCAGGGGGGGGAGTGTGTGGAGTGCGCTGTTAGGGGGTTGAAAACGTTAGTTGGGGTTGAGAGGAATGTCTGCTGTTTGCTCGGGGTGTTTACTGAGTTAGCTGTGAATGGGGGGCCAGATAAAAGCATTTAATGGGAATAAAATAACCCATGAATTATAATGTGTTTATTTTCAACCATTCATAACACGAAACGAGTCACTAAGTATATGTAGTAATATTAATAATATCGAGGCACACACACACATGTACTTTCAGACATCGAAAGTCATTATCAGAAATATATAAGGACCTTTATATTTCATCTTTCTTAAAAAAAAAAACATTTGTTTTTTATCCACATACATTACTAATTTTTGTAATTAGTTGTGTTTTATTTCTCTACATATTAGACATGTTTTTACATAAATTAAACATATATAGCTTACACCACACACACACACACACACACACACACACACACACACACACACACACACACACACACACACACAGTGATGGAAGTGATGTGGTGGAGGCTGAATCCATACACAGTTTCGAGTGTAGATATGATAGAGCTCGAGAAGCTCAGGAATCTGTACACCAATAGATTGATAGTTGAGAGGCAGGACCAAAGAGCCAAAGCTCAACTCTCACAAGCACAACCAGGTGCGTACAACTAGGTAAGTATACTCACCCAAAAGAAGAATCATTAATTGCAAATTATGCAATACACTCGCTATTTTAGGAGAAACATTAACCACTGGCGTACATCTGAGGAAAACACAAAACATATCTAAATAGGAAGTCATAGAGAACTTTATATAACACGTATGTTACACAAATTCCGTATTATGCAGCGCCAGCATGAAGCACATATCTGTTTCAACCCAAACCTAAACAACAGTTCAACAGCCCGCAAACCTATCTCAGAGCCGAGACGAATGAATTGGGAGAACAGACAAGAGATAAATAAACATCACATCACTGGAGTAGAGAAAAGAGAGAGACATGATCACTATCTAAAAAGTACTGAATTTAATCGACAAGGAAGACAATTAAAGCAATAAATCTTAGAGGACGCACCAACGAGATATCACAGGCGGAAAGTAAGTACCAGAGGACACCATTAGAGTTATTACGAAGAAATTTTCCAGTATATGATTTGTAAAGATGTTGAATGAACTAGGAAATAATATTGAGTATGTAGACTCCATACACGGAGAAGTGGATGACGGACTCCAGACACGGAGAAGTGGATGTACACTCCAGACACAGAGAAGTGGATGTACACTCCAGACACAGAGAAGTGGATGTACACTCCAGACACAGAGAAGTGGATGACGACTCCAGACACGGAGAAGTGGATGACGACTCCAGACACGGAGAAGTGGATGACGACTCCAGACACGGAGAAGTGGATGCAAACTCCACACACGGAGAAGTGGATGCAAACTCCACACACAGAGAAGTGGATGCAAACTCCACACACAGAGAAGTGGATTAAGACTCCATGTACGGGTTGTGGACTTTAAACGATGTACTAAAACTCGCGTACTAACCTAACTGACCCCTAACTCACCGACCCACGCATAAAAAGCTATTTATTTGACCTATTGTTTATAGTACTCTGATATTTATCCGTTGGGGATTTGGACGTCAACATGTGGCCTCAATATGTAATGTATTGTGTAGCCAAGGATACCAATAGCAGCAACCCCTCCCACACTTGAAACAGGACCTGTTTACTGACTCTAATAGTCAACTCATTCGTAGGTTTAGCTTGAAGGCAACACACAGCTCGAGTTTGACACCTATTTATCTATCTATCCAATTAAAATGGATATTTATAAAGCAGTGGATTCTACTTACAATAGGCCCAGTGTGGATATAGGTTGGCTGTGGAAACAATCAGAAACGTAGTTTGAATCTAGCAATGCCTACTCACCAGACAGGAAGCCGGCCCATTGTATTGTAGTACTGGTGCAGTAGTACTTGATTGGTGTACCAACTATTGTACCTCCACTGTATCGCCACACTACCGCCACTGTACCGCGCAGAACCGTAACTGAGCCCCACACTGTTCAAGCAACTTTCAAAATTGCTACCTTGGGATCCCAAACTCGTCTGCCAATGTTTCCCATAAAAAGCATACTGGCCGTTGGTTATTAACTGGTAATTCGGTGGTCTTACTAACCCTCCCGCGGTTGTCGGCCCTTAAACCCAAAGTCTAACCGCTAATATACATTTACATGCATACATATATACTTATACTTCAACGAAATGCATACACAATTGTCAATACATACATGCAACACATATGTATACCATCACAGATGCAGCCAAATACCACAAAGTGTCTGCACATTACAGCTGGAAGCCGAAGAAAACGGATACTGGTCCACCCAGAACTTTTTAATCCATAACTTTAAAAAATATCTCTGTAAGGATTTTCTTTTCAAAACACATATTATCCTCTGATGGATGTACATATTTAGCTTTGTACGTCTGAGTGTTGAACCTGATGGCGTAAAATTTATGTTCTAATTGTGTTTACCGAGGGAGCAAAACTTTTTTTTTCTTGATTTTTCAATTATCTGTTTTCATATACATGATATTCTGATGAAGCGATATCTGCTTATCTTTGTTAACAGAGCTGCGCACTTCGACTGAACTACGCATTGGTCTGACAAATGTAAACAGTTCACCTCATGCTCTAGCCAGTTCAAATCGACAGTTTACACAATGCCTAAGTTTTCAGTTTTCAAATGATTAAACTTGTGTTCGAAATCGTTTTTCGCAGTTAAATAATTATAAAAAATATATCTCTGTTGCTATGTTGAGCTAAAATTCATTTCTAAATAACATGTCAACTACTTTTGCTATAAAAAAATTACATAGATCTACATGGTTAGAATTAACCAATAATTTTGACAACTGGGTCATCATTGCAAGGTAAATTTAATGCATTTGGTTAATTATAAATCAACCCTCGTCTGCCAATTCGCGTCACTGGTTACAAATAATCAACCTATAGCGGGGCCCTAGTCAGCCTCCAACAGAAAGTCGACTTCAAATTCCTGCAGGAGACTCACCGGACGCCCTGACCACCTTCAGACGGGAGTGCCTCGTCTGGGCCTCTCCCCGTAGAGGTCAGTGATGTTGTCTACCATCTGGACTTCGTCTCGCGCCAGAAACAGGATGTCCGAATCATCCGGAAGCTTATATTGGTTTCGGATCTTCCGTACGTACACGAACACGACCACGGCCACCAGGAGGATGCCTGTTACCACCAGGATGGTTATAAGAACCGCGGTGCCCCTCGACATCCGCCTAGAGTCCTCTGGTACTTTGTTTTCGTTGATCGTCGGGAGGATTTGGTCGTCGGTGAATGATGTCTCCTTCGAGGTGAGATTTGTAGGAGAAGGTTGGGAAGTGTTGCCTTTGCTGGCTGATAGTGTCCAGGAGTCGCTGGTTTCCGTCGTGGTGGGAAGGGCAGTACTTGTCGTTTTATTGGTTACCTCTGCGATTTTAGTCGTCAGTTTTCCCTTGTTCTCTGCCACTGTGTCGTCTTTGGATTTTGTCGTTGAGATGCTACTGATTGTGGCTGAGAGTTCCCTGGCTTCGGTGGTCGTAGCCTCGCTTAGTTGTGTGGTGGTGGGGCCATCAGCGGGACTTTCCGTAGTCGAATCCTCTGTCACCGTCGACGCCGTCTGTCGTTCAATATTGTCGCCAGTTGTCGTAATAATTATCTCAACTTCCGGCCCCACCGTCTCCTTGGCTGCGAGAGTCGTTGGTTTAGGCGTTCGCTCTTGTAGAGTCGTCTCCGGCGCCTCCGTCAAGATCTTAATCGTAACAGGAGCTGGGAAGGTGACAACCTCGATGGGATGGGTGAAGGGTCGAGCTGGGACTGTTACAGGTGTTGTAAGCTTCGACGAAGAGAGTTCCGTAGCTGTTGTAGTGACTATCTTGCTCAGATTAGTGACAGACGCAGGGACGGGTGAGACAGAGGGCGCCGTCAATATCGTCGATGCCGAAGTAGCAGTCGGGTGGAACACGCTGACAGTCTTGGGCGTTGACAGATCTGAAGAAAACAGCGTTGTTTCAGTTAAGAAACTGAAATGGTACTGAAAAACAGTAACATTTCATAGTCGTCACGATTTAGAAAATTATTAAAATCAAAACAAATAACACATAACTACAGAAATAATCATGAGATTTTAAATGCATAAGAAACCATCAATCAAGAGAGCAAACTCAATTCTTGGGCAGAGTGAAGCCATTTTATGAAATACATGTAAATAGGTTCAGATTTCATTGATGTGAATATCATTCACAATAACAAATGGTCTTCCATTTTCTGGTTTAAGTCCCAAAGTAATTATTAATATTATTAGATTTCTGGTGTTTTTGTCTAGTTTTCATTTATGCTCTCTCTCTCTCTCTCTCTCTCTCTCTCTCTCTCTCTCTCTCTCTCTCTCTCTCTCTCTCTCTCTCTCTCTCTCTCTATCTATCTATATATCTATCTATATATATATATTCATTTTTAGTTATATCTATAATTTTCATTATATTTTCAGCCTTGAAAAAAAAATTGTCATCTCAGTCTAAAATAAATACTTAGTAAGCCAGTAAATAAACTTAAAAGGTTAACATATACAAAACCACTAAAAAAATGCTTACCATGTCACTATAAATTATATTTAAGATTCCTATATATTTATTAATCCTCATAAATTGGGGATTTATTAATTTGTGAACTGAATTTATGTACTCAAGTGTTCGCTTTATTAGCAAACACTTAAGTACAGATTCAAGAGGCTGCCATATCCTTGGCACTTATTATATACTGTTGACATATTAATGAAGTACTACAAACAACCTGGAAAGAGAATGTGGCCATATTATGTAATATCTCCTTACAGTGTGGGTTGAACGTTGCCATAATATGAAATATATCCTTAGTTTAAACGTCGCCATATTACGTAATATCTGCTTACATTTTGGGCAGAATTTTACCATATTACGTAATATCTACTTACATTTTTGGCAGAATGTTGTCATATTATGTAATATTTACTTACAGTGTGAGCAGAACGTTGCCATATCGACACAGCAAGTTGATTCATTGCCACATTCGATGTCACAGCCACACGCCTCTTCGTCTATGGCAATCTCGCCGCACCTTCCCTGGCAACTCTGCAAGTCATCACCTGATTCGGTACCTGGCACATGGCAAAAGGGGAAATTAACGTTTGATATTCGTCGACTGAGATGAATGTAGAATCGGAATCAAAGGGCCTTATTCGTATTAACCTACACAAATCAGAATCAAAGACTTTACTCGTTATAATCTTTATAAATCACTACAATTCCGGCCGGAATAAACAGGTGTACAGTAGTGTAGTAAACCTACATGTTTACATGGAAAATTAATAATATTTGGTTTACCATTTGAGTGGTTATTTAAATATTGGTAAAACACTGTCTAGGAGCAGTAGTAATAGTAGCAGCGGTAAGCCTAGTAGTCATGACAGTAGTAGATACTAGTCTACTCCTGTTCATTCTACTATCTACCTCGTCTAGTTCCCATGACGTCCACTTCCCTTAGGCCTATTCTCCAAATGACTTCAATTATGTATGTTCTCATTATGTCTGCCCCCCCCCCCCACCACTCTCTCTCTCTCTCTCTCTCTCTCTCTCTCTCTCTCTCTCTCTCTCTCTCTCCTTAAAAATATCTACATAATCTTTAACGTTGTTTATCGTAGAAAAATGAGAATACTATAACGTAAAGTCTCTCTCTTTAATGCAAAAGCTTTATCTAAAATTACTGGAGAAGCAAGGCGCGTCCCTCGGGGCGGTATATCAGTGCAGGCGCTCTCTCCTGGTCGCCGGCTGGTAGCGAACACGCTCACCCTACGAGCACGCACGCACGCACGCACGCACACACACACACACACACACACACACACACACACACACACACACACACACACACACACACACACACACACACACACACACACATCCATCTCCAGGAAGCAGCCTGCAGCACCTGTCTAACTCACAGATACCTGTACTGCTAGATGAACTCTCCTTCAAAATAACTCTGCCCTCTGCTCTGTTCAGTGCAAGTGCAGTTTTTCTGCCTCCCGATGGAGGCAGAAAGTTTGTGCTTCGGTTTATTTTTTTAATAAAAGGTATTATTATTTATTCAATTCTAGTTTCACAACATATCTCTTCTCTCTTCAACCTTACCTTCACATTACCTCTCTTTCCCTATCTTACCACCCTTTTCTAAGGTACTTCCTACCCCACCCCCTTCTTCGCTTTACCACTTTGCTCTATTCCACCTACTTCATTTCCCTTGTCTTCTCCCTGTTCTATCTCCTATCCCATTTACTTACCCATAATTTCCTCTTGCATGCATATGAAACGAGCATCTTATGATTCAAGAAACTTTTTTTTTATCTCTCATTTTCTCTTTTCTAATCCTCTACTAATCCCAGCGAAATATTCGGACAATTTGTCGATAGATAAAATGATAGTTTCCCAAAACATAGGTAAACTGACTCGCACATACATGAATGAGCAGGTAAGCCTCATGCAAGCAGCCAGATATAGTTACATCAACCTGTCTTGGGGTGCCAGCAAAGCAGTTTTAAGCTTGTTGAAGCTCTGAAGGGCGAAACTAAGCTGGTTTATAGCCAGAGGGGAGACATAAAACTGAAATATAAATATAATATATATTGGAGCTGCCTCGTATGGACCAATAGACCTTCTGCAGTTACCTTTATCCTTATATTCTTATGTATATGGCTCTACATTCCCCTCGGTTAAGCCTTAACTCTTAATTACTACAGTAAAGCACGCCAGCGATTATTGGGCGTGTATGGGGCAAGCCCTCAATGGAGTAATGGGTGTACTGGTGGTAAATAATGGGTGAAGCTGGTGTGTGGAGGGGGTGGAGTGAAGGAGATGATTGAGTGGGCCTGATAGACAAGGAAAGCAACGGAGGATAAGGATAGAAGGAAAGTGAGGGACGGGGAGAGAAAGTGAGAGAGAGAAAGAGAGAGAGAGGGGGGGGGGGGGGGAGTGACAGGCGAGTAAGTAGGATATTTTGACAGTAAAACTGGAGTTTGGACTGATACAAACACTGACCTCAGGTACTGTGCCTGTAAGAACCATATACTCACTCGTCCCACAGGTCCGACAACTATTATGTCGACGTTCTTCCTGCAGAATATTTACGCAGCTGAGCCTAATCCAACATCTTTATCTCTGTTCACATATTTTCGCAACTACATATCAGCCCCTTGGTATGTACATCTGTAGTTTTGACACACCTGCATCAGATAAACTTACCTTCAGGTGTGGTGTGGGTCTCGTCTTTTCCAGCTGTGAACGGTTGTGTAGCGACCCCTGCAGGTGTAGTGGCGTTGTCAGGAGAACTGGGAGTGGTGGCAGTGACGTTGGTGTCAATGCTCGTAGCAGGTTTGGCAGTACTGGTGGCTCCTACGGCGCTGGTGCTGTCACTTGAATCTTGAGGCCTATGAATAGTGGCAGGAGTAGAAGTAGAGTAGGAAATATTTATACTGCCAGAGGTACTATTCATGCCGTGAGAGATACTGGCATTTGACTGGGCATAACTGACGGAGGAGGACTCTGTACCCATGTTGCTGGAAGTAGAGTTGGCCACGGAGGTGATATTAACTTTGGTACCTGAAGTAAACATGTCGTGGATAGTGGCATTGGTGTTGGCAGCGACGGTGGTAGTGGGATGGGCCGTGGTGGTATTAGCCATGGGGGTGGGTGAGACAACCAGTTGAGGACTGGTCACCTCAGGTCTGACCTCTGACATGGTGTAATGGTCACTACAGTCGTCGCCGTGAGCTAACTTGACGTCGTCGACGGCCATGTCGCTGTTAGTAACGTCCCGAATGGCTTCCAACACGATCTGTCAACGACAAGATTAAGGCATTTATATTTTACCCGGCATACTGGTACAGCGAAGATACTGGTATACCGAGCATCCTGTTATGCTGCAATGCCTAGCATACTGGCATACTTAGGATATCGGAATGGCTTGCGTATTAATATACCAATCGCATTAGCACACATATCAAGCTGTCATATCTAGCATTCTGGTGTACCAAGCATATCTTCTATATCTAGCATCCTGTTATACCTAACATACTAACATATCTAAAATACTGGCATATGTAAACTATATACCGCTACATACCAGCACAATATACTCTCATATAGAGACATACAGAGGACCTGAACACCGAGTCAGTAATCGACAAACACAAAGAAAAAACAACGAATGAAACAATTTTGCTAACATACACCATACAGAGAAATACGACGACGTATATTGAAGCCTCGACGTACACTGAAGTCTTCGACGTATACTGAAGCCTGTATGCTGAAGCCTATATGAAATGTATTAAAGCATACGATGTATACTGAAACATACGATGTATACTGAAACATACGATGTATACTGAAACATACGATGTATACTGAAACATACGGCGTATATTGATCTTAATATTGATTGATATTGATATACTTTAGCCCCACTCTTATTTACAACCTCTCTTATTTACAACCTCTCTTATTTACAACCTCTCTTATTTACCACCTCTCTTATTTACAACCTCTCTTATTTACAACCTCTGTTATTTACTACCTCTCTTATTTGCCACCTCTGCCGATAACAATCACTGGATTCTATCTCTCACTTAAGTGGCTTGTTCCCTACTGTTGGCAGCCGTTAAGTTTCAATGTGATCTTCATGGGTCAAATCGCTTGTTAACACGATGAGGTGAAGTTCAATAAGAATTGAAATATTGCTTGATGGGTGATTGAGTAATCGTGTGTGTATTCACTTAGTTGTTCTTGAGGGGGGTTGAGCTCTGCTCTTTCGGCCCGCCTCTCAACTTTCAATCAATCAACTGTAACTAACTACTAACTGTTTCCCCCCCCCCCCCACACACACAGGAAAAAGCTCCGTAACAGCTGTCTGACTCCCAGGTACCTATTTACAGCTAGGTAACAGGGGCATCAGGGTGAAAGAAATTTTGCACATTTGTTTCTGCCTGGTCCGGGAATCGAACCCGGGCCACAGAATTACGAGTCCTGCGCGCTTTCCATCCGGCTGTGTGTGTGTGTGTGTGTGTGTGTGTGTGTGTGTGTGTGTGTGTGTGTGTGTGTGTGTGTGTGTGTGTGTGTGTGTGTGTGCTTATCTCTCTTCCTTCAATTAAATTATATCCTCAACCATCATCTTTCTCTTCCTATTTCTTGTTATCATTCGTCTCCCACTTCGTCATCGTCGTCGAGCGAACACCACAAACAAAGATTCTTTGGATTGTTTGCCATCAAAATTTCCCCAAAGAAGAGCTGAGGAAATATGAGTTAGCGGTGTGCGAAAATTTATGTGTTGGTTCATGCAAGTCAAATGAGAGCCAAGGTTATGACGAAGGGGTTAATAAAGAACTTCGTATGATTTTTAAGCTCGTGGTGATAAATTTTTGGAAAGCGCCTATACGGTTAGGGATTTTTGGAAGGAGGGGGGGGGGAGATGGTCGATTTATAGGCCTATATCTAAACAAAATTAAAAAATAAAGAAATCTTTAGACAAGCTTCTTTTTTTAAGGCTTTCGGATTTTCGTAATATTGACGGTAATCAAATGATATTAATGAGGGTAATTAATGGTTATTATTAATTATTCAAATGATATTAATGAGGGACATGGTCACTATTTGTTCTTGTTTTACACAGGTGGGTACAGGAGCAGACGACTGCTGACTCCTGTTAGCAGGCTGAGAGCTTTCCCTTCCACACAGCTCATTGTAAGCCTTAACCCCCACTAGTTTCCCCTGGAATACGACCCGTCAATCGTTTAACGACCACGTACCTAATCTCTAATGAGATAGCACAAGCGTACAGTTAAGGATTAGCGCCTAGTTAATCTTACCCGGCCAGGATACGAACCTGGGAACTTCCCACTCGCGAAGTGCGGGTCGAGTGTTACCACTGTGCCACCGCCCACTGTTATTGTTGTTTTAGATTCACCTACTCGGAACAAAAGTTCCAAGTAGCACAGGCAAAAGTGAACCCGTAGTGGACTTCCGGGAACTGTGTTGTAGCATCTTCACTATATATGATCACTATCAATGTAACATCTTCACCACTCACGCCCTCCATCATTAAACATCTTCACTATGCACCATCTCCATCACTGTTACACCCTCACTGTTGAGGGTTCGATACAAAATCCGCAAATCGTGGGTTATAGCACTCCTCCGCCTCACTTCTCCTCTAAGCCCGCAGTGTTTCCAAATACTTTTCAAAATCAAGGGGAAAAAATGGGGTTGTCGGGGAAGAAGGCCTACAGAACCGTTTTTTCAATTGTTTTATTTTGATAGAAAATGGTGATCGAATCATGGGAGACTTACAAAAAGCATTTATTTGATAGCTTTTGATCAAACTCAATCATCGTCAAATTGTGGGCCCACAAACTGGAACCCAATATAGCCAATGATCTCCTTTGGGTAAAATATGATTCCCATATTAAATTTGATTCTTCTCATAATTGCAAGGTTTGCAGCTTCGTATGCAATGTCATTCCCTATTATTCCCACATGACTTGGCACCCAGTTGATAAGTATCCGACGGCCTTGACGTCTGAGTGTGTGCATTAATAGAATGATATTTGTAGTCAGATGGCTATTGTCCCGTACGTGTCCTTGTTGCAAAGTTTCAATGGCAGTTCTCGAATCTGTATGAATGATAACATGTTGTCGATGGTTGAGTTATGATCAACGATGTCTGAATGAACAGAGAACACACACATGCAGACTTACAGACTTTCGAATATGTTAATATTCTAAATAATTATAACCCAACACACTAACACATACAACAACAGAAGTTAAAATGAAAATGAACATAAAGCACCTTCCCACAACTCATAACTCAAAACAACTTTCTAAGCACCATAACACACACGAACATAACTTTAATAACACACTAATAATTTATGTACCTGGGTGATAAGTGTTATTTTCCAATTGCTAATGTCTCCAAAGTATAGAAAATGGTTATTATACCTCTCATAGTTTGTTCTGATCTTTGCCTCAGACAGCATAAGAAAGACAGCTTGAAGGTGCTTAAACCATGCTGACGTCTTATCTAGAGCTGTAACACATTACAGCTTTCTAGAAACTTTCCTTATTAAGACTACTCAATAGCTCGGTCGGTAGAGCTTTGGTCTCACACACTTGAGGTCTACGGTTCGAGTCTCCCAGAGCCCAGGTGAATGGACTGTAAACAACGCTTCCTAACTCGACCTTTGCCTCAGCTTTTCCAGACAAAGACGAAAGCAAAGTTTGAGGGAGATAACAGCCATTTGCAATACTTTGAAGACAGCCTATCAGAAAATAACACATACTTCCCAGGAATAAAAGACTTTACACATTGATGACCAGACCAGACACTAGAATGTGAAGGGACGACGACGTTTCGGTCCGTCCTGGACCATTCTCCAGTCGATGGAGAATGGTCCAGGACGGACCGAAACGTCGTCGTCCCTTCACATTCTAGCGTGTGGTCTGGTCATCATACTTTAGCCACGTTATTGTGACTCATCGCCTTTACACATTGATATAATCTACCATTTTCTACTATGTTTAACCAGTCAAAAAACTGCAGTTTGCGGAGACGAGTTGTTACCTGGAAGTTATAACGAGTGTTGGTGAGGTTGATTTTATGGAAAAACCACCTGGCCTCGCTGGAGTCGCTCATCTGAAGAAATGGTGGCAGAAAATCCAGCGAGATTCCTTCAGGCTTGACGTAGGCGTTGAGAGCACCTGTGAGAGAGAGGACTGTTACATCAAGGAAGTGGCGTAACGTCACACACTTCGGGATCACCATAGCCCGTGCTACATGGACATTTCGTTCCGAGTAGCTAAATCTGAAACAACAAGTACGGAGGGGGTAGGGGTTGTGGTTAAGGTGGAGAGGGGCAAGAATGGTAGCTGAGAACTGTTCCTGCCTAGCTCATCTAGCTCGGCTTAGTTCCCAGGTTTAGCGAAGATGTAGCAAGGGAAAATGAGGGAGATTGTTGAAGGAAAGCTAAGTGTGTAAGCTAAGCTAAGGGAGGAGAGGCAGAGAGAGGGATAATGTAGAGGGGAGAATGTGGGTTAACGGGAGGTAATGGAGTGGTGAGGGAGAATTTAGCATGAATGAGAGTATTGGAGCGTGAAAGCGTGGCGTGAAGAGTGTTGTGGTGTGGGAAACAGCGAGACTAAAGGGACACGGACAAAGGTTCAATGCTATTAAACAGATGAGCAAAAATAGGTGAAAACTAGTCTTTGCTGAAAGCCAAGAAAAAAGACAGAGAAAGGGAGAAAAGACAGAAAGAGAAAAAAAAGAGACAAAGTCAGAGATCAGTATCATTACATTTCATAACATTTCTTCTCGTACACATTAAGTCTTCCTCTTTCAGTCTTCTTTATTACTCATCTTTCCTACCTTCTTCCTCCCTCACTCACCTCCCTTCTTCTCCAACCCCCCCTCCCCTCTCCTCCTCCTCTCTCCCAACTACCGGGTAATTCAGTGAGTTCGTCCATAAATCTTCTAGTAGTCAAAGTAAGGTGGAGAATCAATACCCCGCCTCGCCACCAGACCTCCTCCAGGTGGCTACTTCAGGGGACGTTGTCCATGCTCCTGGAAGATCAATACCCTGAAAATGACACCACAATTGCCAAAAGCAAGATAGCAATTCGTGACATATTTGCCAACTCTTAATTCTTCCTGTGGAATGGACTCAACATTCCGCTATGCAGTACATGTACTATTGGTATATGAACATTATGATAGTCATCAGGTAGTCTCGTGGTAGTCTCGTGACAGATGGATAGGTGCTATTCACCTATCACGATGGTCCAAGTGGATACCATCGTTGGACTTGGACCATCAGGGATCGAACGTCGACCTGCAAGAAGCATTTCATCGCTGTATCGCCCAATCCATATATTAATTTCCTCGTGGTAATGTGACCTGGGACTAATCAATTGCTTTCCTCTACTGATTCACAAAGAATTTTATCTCATTAAAACAACAGTTGTTTCTTGAACAAAAATATACACTTACTCCTCTGAATATTCTTGAAAAAATGTCTTTCCAAAATTTACTCAGATAAAAGAAGACAGGCAAGAGGCGTTCCATTACAGGCAAGTGTCTTTAGTACCAAGGTACACACTATACAGGAAAACAATGTTTATAACCATAATATTATGCGTGGCTTTTCGCTTATAAATAAATTATTATTATTATTATTATTATTATTATTATTATTATGAAAAAACAAAGTGGTTTCAGAGAGAGAAAATCGTGTCTAATAAATTCTACTTGAGTTGCTAAAATTAGACAGGAATGCCGGGTAGACTGCATCTTTTTCGACTGCCAGGATGTCTTTAACACCATCTGCCACAAATGACTATAAAACATAAAAACACTGCATAGCAGAAGGTTATTAGAACATTTTGGAAACTAACTCGAAGAAAAGTTAGGAGTGGTTGTATATGCTTGGGTGATAATAGGCGACTAGCGGGGTTCCGCAAGGATCAGCACAGGATACTGTTTTGTTCTTCATCTTTATGAAGGACCTAAATGAGAAAAATGATTCGTTCGTCTCACTCTTTCCAAACAATGGTGTCTAACGAGAGGACAAAACACAGGTAAGTCATTATCACAAGTAAACGGTAAGACTATGTAGCTACGAGTGAAGATTGCATTAGATTGTAGGCACTAAAGAGATTGCAAGAGTGGTTAGACAAACCAAGGCTTTTAGAGTTCAATTCAAGTGAATGCAAAGCTATGAGACTGGAGTTGGTAGAACGACGACCATAAGTACAATAGAGAGAGTAGCTCACACCAAGCCTCACAGTCCACCACGTTAACAGACTAGTGTGTGTGCAGTGGAACCATCGCTGGTAGACACAAGAGCAGCCAGCTTGGAACCATCGCTGGTAGACACAAGAGCAGCCAGCTTGGAACCAAAACAAAGTATACCCCACAATATACACAAAAAAATCACAATAACGTGTTATTTCTATGAGAAAATCTTTCGAGCAGGACGGGGAATCGAACCAGCGTCCTGGGTAACCCCAGACGTGCAACTCACCCATATGCCACGATATCCTACAAGTCAGACGCGACTGGGGTTTTCCCAGGACACCAGTTCGACACCATGTTAGAACAGTCCGGCATGGATCTCACTCCAAGCGAAATAACATAAAAATATATGGATAAATTTCTCACAAGGCTAATACAGAAAACAGGAGACCTGATCAAAGACGAAAAGTTCAAAAAACCAAACCTATACACATTACAGTTAGGAAGATTCAGATGAGACATGAGCACGACGTACACGGTACCGAGGGACAAATTGAACATAGACTGTGCCAGTTAAGGAGACAGAACTAGAGGCCACAGGTGCAAACTTTAGGTAACGCATGACACACAGTGGGCACAGAGAAGTATTCCGACAGGCGGAGTGGACATGAGGATATTAATCTGCCACAAGAGGTCGTTCAAGCCAATTCGATTCACAGCTTCAAAACAAGATTCAACACCGGCGTGGGACACCGAGCACCAGATACCTGAAAGTGAAGAGGCGGGCCTCAAGAGCTAAACCTCCCTGCCAGCCAGCACGAATATAACTATCATCCACGCCGCCTTCCCTTAAAACATGCCCTTGAGAACAGAGTTGATGAAGTCTTGTTCCTTATCACTAATCATCATCCTTGCTCTGAATCTTCACCAATCCAGCACTGCCAGAAATAGGGATAGAATAACGGATTGTGCAGTTGGTAGGTTCATCCTGCCTGCCTTCCTCCCTCTCTATTCATCTATTCGTGTAGAAGGTAGAAGGGGGGGGGGGGAGGAAAATCGGTTCCACCAATGTAAACTCAACAACCATGTTTGCTATCCTCTTGGTCGCTCGTTCAAGGTTTAAAAAACTGAAAAATGATGATTTGTTTTTTTTAGTTTCCGGCGCAAATGAAACTTTTATACAGCTTTTTTTCCATTGATGAACTATCAATTTGTCTCTGATATAAGCATGGTACCTCCCTACCCAGCCCTACCCAGCCCTGACACATCCCTACCCATCCCTGGCACATCCCTACCCATCCCAGGCACATCCTTATCCATCCCTGGCACTCCACATACTGCAAAATCTGTGTATCCATGTATTTACGTATGTAGGTTAGCTTAGCAATTTAAAAGCACCGAATCACCTTCTGTGGTTGATTGTTCAATAAACCCTTGAACTATATGTTTAACACATCTCTAACCCTGTCCATGGAGGACAGAAGAAAATGTATATATGCTGGTTAGCATTGTAAATGTGTGGCCACGTCTGTGGTAGAAAAAAAACTGTAGCATTACGAATAACCAGAACCAACACACTTCAGCAACACACTCCAACAACACACAGCGGAAACACCACCGTCCTCATACAACCAGGTGCAAAGTGCTTCCCTTGAGTTGTCAGTTAAAAAACTGTCAAAAACATTCGCTCTCTTCATTACAAACTTTCTCCATTTAGGCAATTTTCCTTTCGCTTCCACACACACACGTTTACCCCCAGCCTGTCTATCTGTTTCTTGGCCTTCCTCTCCTCTTCTCCTTTCAATCCCTGTGATTACCTGTTCGCTCAATACGATCAAACCACATTGATAAAAGTCCCCTTAATCTTATGATTTAGTTTACTCCTTTTCGTGATAATTTGTTGTCATACTCAATCCATCTAGCACCTCATATTCACCTTTGATTATGCATGTTCAGTCACTTCCACTGGAGGATAAAACGGTGGCCTAGCTTCTTGCAGGTCGGCGTTCAATCCCCTATGGTCTAACCGATTGGACTTCATTCCTGGCACTATTGCAGCTCCTATCCTGTCCTCGACTTCCATCCATGGGCTATTCAGTCATATTGGCTTGACGCTTTCTCCTAATAATTTCATTTCGTTTCATATTTCCTTTCCTATAACTTTTGATTTTTCATATTTTTGCCAGATCAGTGTTTCTCACATCCATACATAAGGGTATAATTAAAGTAAACAATATCCAAGTTACTAAGAACCATACCAAGACTTACTTACAGAAGTATGAAGTTAAAAATAATCAACTAAAATCACAATAATTTAAACTAAAATCGAAATCGTCCGTCTCTCTCTCTCTCTCTCTCTCTCTCTCTCTCTCTCTCTCTCTCTCTCTCTCTCTCTCTCTCTCTCTCTCTCTCTCTCTCTCTCTCTCTCTCTCTCTCAGTAATAAGTTTAACCTATCCTGCCTGCCTTCATCTCAAAAGGTTTTCGTTCTCTACATTTTCAACGTCAAGGACGATGGAAAATTGTCTTTCTCCATAAAAATCGCAAAAACAAAAAATACACAGAAAAAGATGCGTCTTTTTTTATAAATTTTCTGGTTGATGATAATTGACAGTATCAATTAGAACCTCGATCCCGTGGCCTGTCCTTTTGAGGAAGAGGTGAGAGAGGGGGTAGGGGGAGGGTAAAAGAGAGGGGAAGGAGTAAAAAGAGAGAGGGAAAAGAGAGGAAAAGAGAGGGAAAAGAAAGGGAAACTAGAAAGGGGTCAATTGGGAATTTGGATGTTTGAAAACAAGATTAATACTTCGTTTCCTCTTTTAATTAAATTTGCCTAATTCATTCGGGTACAATAGACTCATCAATGAGGTAAGATATCTTGATACACTGTTTTGAACATGTGTTAAGCGAGGAAGCGAACTCATGTTAGCGATACCTTATGGGCGATAACTTCTGGTTTGGAGTTGGTTTAGTGAGAGGATCAATCATGAACCTCTGAAGGAGCTTGTTAAGGCTCTAACACCGACACCGATAAGTACACGTTAGTCCTGTACATAGTTCGGTACTACAGGATGTGAACATTAACTTTATGATATGGTTAATGTATATTAATTCTCTTGCAAACTGTCTTCTTATCATTCAAATGTTGTTATATAAATTGTGTCAATATCTGTTTAACCGCTATAATGCTAAACTATTCTTTGTTTTTCTAACATTATATATACAGTATATATATATATATATATATATATATATATATATATATATATATATATATATATATATGAGTGAGGTGGATGGGGAGCATCCACCCCATCCACCTCACTCAAATGTAGATATAAACAAATCGGAGATGTGTAAGTTCTATTCAGTTATATATATATATATATATATATATATATATATATATATATATATATATATATATATATATATATATATATACCATACAAATTATAGGGTAAATGTTACTCACTTTTGGTCAAAATGTAGCTTTGATACATAACTGCTGTACATATATTGAGTCCAGCCATTATTCTAATAATTAGTATAAGTTGTTACGAATAAAGTTTCTGATTCTGACGGAAGCAAGTTAAGTTGATCTCGAACTTATGATAATTTGATGGATACAGTAATCATATTTCATCCAGTTTTAAGAAGGTAAACTTAGAAGAAGAAAGCAGATAATTGTAGTTAAAGTTCAATAATAAAGTTCAATAAAGCTCTAAAATCAAAATTTTAAGAAATATACAAGACAAAATACAAATAATAAAGATGTTGACCAAAATGCGAAATTAGCGAAATTTGGCAATAATGATGAAAGCCAAATTGGCCAAGGACAGAAGCCAATTTGGTAATAGGTTGGAGGTTGTTTGGACCCCCAGCTGCTCTCCAGGTAAACGATAGCTCACCTGCGCTAATTAACGAGCTTGATAATGCCGACTGTAATCATTCCCAATACTGGGGATGGAAGCGCCATGCTCCAGTGCCATAATTTGATATCGTGCATTAATCTGATCATCTCTTGTTGTTATTGTTGTTGTTGAAGGTTGTTGGTTATTATGTGGTTAACTGTGATACGAGAGTTTTAGTATACAAGTTTGTGTTGGTGTACATGTACGTGTACGTGTACGTGTACGTGTACGTGTACGTGTACGTGTACATGTCAGTACGCCTTATCCTCTTCCTTCACCTTTTTTCTCTCTTCCTCCTCCTTCTCATGCTCATCTCTCGAGGCCCTCTTCATCACTCGGGCTCCACTCAGCACCCTGCACCCTCTCTTTCATTTTAGACTCTGTTTAAGACACAAACCCGTTCACTTCTTAGGTTCCGCTAACCGCTAGGTACCCTTTCACTAATGGCACCCCCTCACCCCTAGACGCTCCATGACCAGTGGAACACATTCCCCCATATCAACCTCCCTTCCTACCCTAGAACACTGGCTGGCTCTTACCTGAGTTCCGGCCATACTTATGGAAGTAGAATGAGAAGCAGGAGACGCCACTCAAGACGGCTGGGCTGTACACAGGAGAAAACAGCAGCGCCTTGTGGCCCTCCTCCCTCGGGACCGACGCATCGACGTACATGTAATGTCCTGGAAGTAGACGCAAAGTGTGAGGAAATGTTTGTGTCAGCTCCAGAACGACATTTAGTGGACTGCAAGCAGATATACACATGGAGGTTTAAATGTTGGTGTCAGTGCCAGAGAATCATTCACTAATGTTTTCACGTATTTCCAGAGCCGGAATTTAATCGTGTTTAGTCGAATATTGTTCAGAACCAAAATAAACTACAAGTATATACACCCAGAAATGTGCTCCACATCTCGGAGTTGACATAATCCTGTTGAAGTAAGTGTGTCTCACGAGACAATACTGAAGCATAATGATTGTATCGAACTTACATCCATGTAAGCTCGGTACAATTTCTGGTTCAGTGTGGTTTCTGGAGAGTGCAGGGAACGCAAGGTCGATATCATTCCATTGCCTCATTGATACAGCAGGTTACTGTGATTCTCCTTTTATACTGACAGACGTGTTAAGGGATATATATATGCTGGTTACCGAGCCATAATAACTTGTGTTAAGCACAGTCAAGAAAGGATATATGTCACGACATTTGGCCCCCATATTAGAGCTCTGTGCTAACAGTTTCTGGAGGCATCATATGCCTTACGTGCCTTACCGTGCATTCTTATAGGTACAAATACCCAGTGGGCATACCCAGTGGGCATACCCAGTGGGCATACCCAGTGGGCATACCCAGTGGGCATAATATGCGAGAGTGAATTCCGTACCTTTTGCCTTGCTCCAATCTTCCCTTAAGTCTCCTCTCCTCTCTCTTTTGCTTGTTTAATGTCCTTGTCTCCCTCGTCTGTTCACAATCGGTTTGATAACGGTCCAGGACAGACCGAAACGTCGTCGTCTCTTCAATTTCTAGTGTGTGGTTTGGTCAACATGCAAGAGTGACGTTGGTTCGACGTTGAATCAACTTTTTGATTAACATTAAATCTTTTGCAACAGCAATTTGTTCAATATTGCAATTTACAGAGATAATTTTATTTTACAGATTCTCGTGGTCACAGACCGTGTCGCATGACCCCAGACTGTGTCGCATGACCCCAGACTGTGTCGCATGACACAGACTGTGTCGCATGACCTAGAACGCCTCTTCATGACCCATTTGGCTCATGATTTCAGACCTTTTTCCTTTTAATATGTCCATTTTCCAAATTGGACGCTATTATCCTGATCGTGTCCTTTGGGTAAAAATGTTTAATTTTCCATTGGAATCAATAGAGATAATATACGAGTGGAGAAAATAACAATGAAAGATAGAGAGAGAGAGAGAGAGAGAGAGAGAGAGAGAGAGAGAGAGAGAGAGAGAGAGAGAGAGAGAGAGAGAGAGAGAGAGAGAGAGAGAGACAGAGAGAGAGAGAGAGAGAGAGAGAGAGAGAGAGAGAGAGAGAGAGAGAGAGAGAGAGAGAGAGAGAGAGAGAGAGAGAGAGAGAGAGAGAGAGAGAGAGAGAGAGAGAGAGAGAGAGAGAGAGAGAGAGAGAGAGATAGAGAGAGAGGAGAGAGAGAGAGAGAGAGAGAGAGAGAGAGAGAGCGAGAGAGAGAGAGAGAGAGAGAGCGAGAGAGAGAGAGAGAGAGAGAGAGAGAGAGAGAGAGAGAGAGAGAGAGAGAGAGAGAGAGAGAGAGAGAGAGAGAGAGAGAGAGAGAGAGAGAGAGAGAGAGGGACAGAGAGAGAGAGACAGAGACGAACAGCTCCACACTATTCTAAAACAAGGTTTGGTGAACTGTGAACTATACAGTTTATGCCTTTTGAACTTTGATTCAGCTCTCTGGCTTCTGCCTCTTTCTAACAACAACAGGTCTTCTACTGTGTTAACAGGAGCTGTTGTCTGTGCCTCAGTGTATATGTATCTCTGTGTTAACACGAGCAATGTTTCAGCATCTGCGCCACCTTTTATATGCTTGTGTATAATACTGTGTTTTTCCTTCATCTGAGTTCATCAGTTTTTGTGTTTCGTTGCTTCTATTCTTTGTCCTTACGTCTGTATTCCACTGTGCTTGAATGTGTTTGATTGAACGCCAATGAAACAGCGTCTGTGCTTCCGTGTCTCCAAATCTATGCTTAATGAACGCCTAATTGGGTTTATAAAGGATAATAAAGACGGAATGTACGATGACTCGTCATTGCGTATGGTAACCGGGTGATGATACGCGATAATTAGCATTGACGTGCGATAGTCTTTAGAGAGAAGTGTGGCCGAACCAATTACACCTCGCAAAAATAGCCACCATCAGTTCTAACACTAATTAACAATAATATTGTATAATCATAATAATATCTGGATTTTTTTGTTACGAGCTCAATTCGACAGCGGCTCTAATTTTCACTGGAAATTTGTCAAAACAAAATATTCGCAATTCTATAACCTGGAATTATGAGACGCACTTCAATGTGACCGCCACAAAATGAGGGGAAAAATAAAAATCCGAAATAAGTTCGGATTTTTCCTGACCTAAAATTGTTAGATATTCTTTATGTTGTGTTGCTGGTAATTACGAGTTAAATGCTCATGTTCTGTAGGTGATAGTGCGAAAAGAATTGGTTTCTCTCTCTCTCTCTCTCTCTCTCTCTCTCTCTCTCTCTCTCTCTCTCTCTCTCTCTCTCTCTCTCTCTCTCTCTCTCTCTCTTTTTTGACCAAACCACACACTAGAAACTGAAGGGACGACGACGTTTCGGTCCGTCCTAGACCATTCTCAAGTCGATTGACACAATCGATTTGAGAATGGTCCAGGACGGACCCAAACGTTGCCATCCCTTCACTTTCTAGTGTGTGGTTTGGTCAACATAATTCTACCACGTTATTGTGTGTGTCTCTCTCTCTCTCTCTCTCTCTCTCTCTCTCTCTCTCTCTCTCTCTCTCTCTCTCTCTCTCTCTCTCTCTCTCTCTCTCTCTCTCTCTCTCCCGGAAAGAAAAAAACAAGAAATAATAACAATTTACAAGAAGAGTCAAAGATTGGGAACAGGTGATCTTATTTATATAGTAAACATTTATTAAATTTCAGAGCACTTAAGCCAAATGGCAGCAAGATATTATAATATTTAGGACGCGGAGCACAGGTGTCAGTATGAGAGGGAGAGGTGAGAGGGGAGGGGGAATTGAGAGGGGGCAGGGGGTGAGAGGGGCTTCACGTGAAATATTGCGGCTGGTGGCATTATAGAATTTAAAGGGGATGTTGTACCCTTAGCTCACGCCATCACCCCCCCCCCCCCTTCCCCTCTCTCTCTATCTCTCTCTCTCTCTCTCTCTCTCTCTCTCTCTCTCTCTCTCTCTCTCTCTCTCCCCAGCGCCTGTCTTACCCTCCCTACTCCTAACCTAAGGACCACATAGTATAACACATTAGCAATTAACTTGCTTTAGGAGTTTAACAAGTTTAACAAGGGAATTTTTACATTTAGAAGGTTGTTAATAACGTCACACTGTCAATAACAAAGAATTATCATCAAATCTGTAAACAGAGAAGGTTAAATATTACTAATAGGAACTATCTCTCACTTATTTAAAAGGCCTCGCCCACCCTATGAGCCCCAATGTCCTACTGATGTGAATAATGATTTTACTCCACTGGAGCCAATAGCGCTGTCTTAGTGAGCATTTTGGGTATTTGGCCTTATCTATACCAGCGTTAATTCTTCCTTCGCTACATGCGAGGAGGTACCTTGGAGTGATGTTCTAATGGACTCATTCAACTCAACAGGTATTAAAGGTTGTCGGTGATGGGTCTTCGTCCGTTCGTTATTCCCTTCATTATTGGTTGTTAATAATGAGGGGTGATCTCTCACTTCATATGAGGTTCTGGTCATCCCAAAGATTCAACGTTGGTCTTCTCCTTCAAGTCTTCTGTACTCATAACTGGTTAGAGAAGATAGCTTTCTCCTCGTTCACTCCTGAGTGGCGACGATAGCAGAGCTCCTTCTGTGTTTCGTGATCCGGTTCGTTATCGATACACGTATCAAACATGGTCGCGGCAAACGTTAACCAAATGTTGAAACACATCAAGAGAGGAGTTTTGAACAGTATTACTGCTTGATTTTTGGTGCGTTGGGGTTTCGCCGTCCATGATTATCCAGCATTCTTGGGACATAAGAACATAAGGATAAATGTAACTTCAGAAGGCCTATTGGCCCATACGAGGCAGCTCCTATTTATAACAACCCAGTCCCACTCATATGCATGTCCAACCCACGCTTGAAACAATCAATGGAGCCCACCTCCACCACGTTACGCGGTTCAAGCGACCTTGAACTGCCTCCTAAAACTTTTCCAAGAAATCCGAGTGCTTCCATGTCCTCACCTTTGACAAATGAGGACCGAATTAAGCTCCTGGTTCTCCCCAACCCATTTCAGAGCTCTTAAGTAACGAGTCTCTTCTCATGAACAAATCCACAAGGACCGTGACGAGGGTTCGAACTTACGTCCGAGGAGTCTCTTCTCTCCTGATTATCACAGGACTCTCAACTTTTAAACTATGGCCAATCAGATATTGTCACGTGTCACTCATTTCTGTATCGTTGACGCAATTACATGGCAATGATATGGAATTTTCAGGAGTATTCTGAGATCCCAAATACGGCTTAAATAGGATTACAAAGATATATTAAAATATAATGAAACATGCTTTTTCATTACATAATCCGGCAGTATTCTAATCATTATTATGCTAGCGTGCAGACTGTCGTATGCCACTCAGGAGTACAGCCTGTCAAAAGGCTCAAAAAGACGAAATAAAATACCTTCCTTATCTTGAGATGAGATGATTTCGGGGCTTTTAGTGTCCCCGCGGCCCGGCCCTCGACCAAGCCTCCACCTTGTGCAGATCTCATCCTTGTTCTGAAGAAGGTGGTAAGAGGTAGGCCAAGTCATCCAAAATTTTTGGCCATTGAATTTGTCCAAGTCAGTAAAGATGTTCAACTTACAATCTTCACAGTGAAGATTGTGAAGTATGTCTTCACAATTCCTTTTCTCTTCCTCCACTGCACTTAATAATTTACAAGTACACATCAACAATGCCTTCTGCTTTC